TAACTGCGCTGACGTCATAAAAATCCGAAAAACACGCGTGGTTCGAGGTCGTATGAGCAAAATACGCGCTTGAGCCATCACGCTCGCATGCGCATAACGCACATAGCTGAAAACATGTGATTTCTTCGAAAAGTGCGAAAGCAACTGTTAAAGCTGTTTATCAGTATTATAACGGTGATATCTAGCCAGTTGAAAAAGGAGAGATAGCGGATTCAATTTTGTACCAAACACGGGATGCTTTCTTCGAAATACTTAACCATTGTTAAAAAATTCGAGCCGTGGTGGTCACTACTCGTGCGGATGGCGATCATCGGAGATAAGACGGCGGTTTTGCAAGAATCGCGATAAGGCCTTCATTTCATAATCTGCTCTACCGACTGTTTGCAGATCTTCAAATGCCAGCCCACTTCTGGATACTTTTTCAACCTTGTTCTTCTTTAGGGATAATTTCGACGGCGAAGTTTTTCTTTAAAAGCCTGCTGTAAAAGATAAGATCTTGTTACACAGACTGCGATACAGGTTTGGTATAAAAGCGCTCGCGTGGCTTCAGTCTTATCTTACGGATCGTTCCCAGTCAGTTCAGATTGATGGATTTACCTCTTCAGTTCGTCCGCTCAGATCTGGTGTACCCCAGGGGTCCGTGTTGGGTCCGTTGCTGTATCTATTGTATACGGCCCCTCTAGGTGACCTAGTACGATGGCATGACATGAATTTCCATCTATATGCTGATGATACTCAACTGTACACCACCTTCAGTTGCGATGATAAGGATGATCTTACACTACAATTTCCCGGATTGAAAGCTGTCTTGTCGATATCACCAACTGGATGACTACTAACAAACTGAAACTAAATAGTGACAAAACGGAACTTCTCATTCTCTATTCTAGGTTCAGACTGCCTCCACGGCTACCTTCTATTAAGATAGGAACTGATATCATCAAGCCTACAAATAAGGCGCGTAATATCGGCGTCATTTTCGATAACACCGTAACAAGGTCTTTTCATATTAACCACATAGTTAAAGTGGCATTCTACCACCTTAGAAAAATAGCTAAGATTCGTAAGTATATCAATGTCACAACGGCTTAAGTTCTTGTGCACGCATTCATAAATTCAAAGCTGGATTTCTGCAACTCGCTTTTACATGGTCTTCCCAAGTATGAAATTAACAAACTGCAAAATGTCCAAAACGCTGCTGCGCGTGTGATTGCCTGCTTAAGTAAGTTTGATCACATAAGTGATACTCTAAAGGAGTTGCACTGGCTACCACTGGAGCAAAGAATAATCTTAAGATTAATCTTATTTGTTTTAAAATACTCAACAATTTAGCTCCTGATTATTTGGTTGACCTAATCCATGCTTATGAACCTGCAAGGTACCTTCGCTCATCTTCAGACAAGTGGCGTCTTGTTATTAAACCCTATAACTTAAAGACATACGGTTTAAGGGCTTTTTCAGTCATTGCCCCTATACAAGCTTGTTCCAGACTATCTTGCTGATATGTTTAAATCACGTTCTCAAGTCCATAATAGACAAACTCGATCATCTGGTGCTTTGGATATACCTTTATGTCGCCTGTCAACAGGGCAGCGCTCCTTTGCTTTCAGAGGAGCCAAACTCTGGAACTCCTTGAATGATAATATTAAGTCCTTAAAATGCCCCAGGAATTTTAGGCGTCATCTTGCAAATGTTTTATTAAGTTGATATATTTTTTGTAATTATAATATTATTGTACTTACATTCTTAATTAATTTATATAAATTTGTATTTTTTATTCTATTGAGCTGAAAAACCCACTTAGGGAGCATCAATAAAGGGTATGTATGTATATGAATGTATGTACTCTAAAACGATTTGCCTATTGAAATTAGATCGATCCGTGATGCACATAATTTAAATCTAAATTGAAGACCTTTCTTTTTTAGCCAGTTTACGAATTATCTTAGGTTTTTTATTTTGTATTTTTGTGACTATGTATATATATATATATATATATATTCGTAAATGATTTTAGGATTTTTGAAGCATTGTAAAGCGCTTAGCACTGAAAAGTATAGGCCCTATATAAATATTTTATTATCATTATTATTAAGATGGCGCCGATCTAAAAAAAGTACATCACGTCCGCAGCTGCACGTACAAGACCGTAGTTCGCGACGGAAAACCTACATTGCTTTCGTCAAGGGTCAATCTGTGACTCAAAAATTATTTTTCTTCGTGCAACATTTTCTAGTGCACCTTGTACGTTAAAAAACTTTTGAAAAGGAAAAAGCACAAGGATGTTGGTTCGTCGATGGGAAGGTTCCTTCGATCAGGATGCAAGTTAAGTAGGAAACCTTTCTTCTGATAAGTTTTTTAAACAATGTGATAGAGTCGGCAAAACAAAAAAAAATTACACTTGCTGTAATCTTGCCTTAAAGCCACTACTTCTAGAATTTCTTAATCAAATAAATCAAATGTAAGAGAAATGAAGTGACCGAGGAGCGCTGCCGGTGAA